GTTTACTTGCATTACTACAATTTTTAGTGAGGTCATAAATTTAAATTATACCCCATACTATTCCTCTCAATAAACCCCTTTTCTACTATCAAGTTTGTGTCAACTTGATACAAGGTAGAGCCATCAAAACAGAAAGAGCTTCATTTGAGGAAATGACTCTATGAGATCCAGCTATAAGGGCCCAACTTACAGTGGGTTTTGTGACTACCTAAAAACAAAATCGCATAAAAGAAACAATATGTGGACCATAATCATAAGCTTGATGAGCAGGTTCTAGTCATCATATGTCTTCGAAGGAGCTACTTCTTTCTCCTCATCCACATGTATACACATTCACATGCCTGTGTAGAGTGAGAGGATTATATATACATTTGTGTACATGCGTGTAGCTAAAGTCCAGTAAAAAAAAGTTATTAGGATGATAGAAGCACCTCCCTTTTGAGCAATGGAGCCAACTGTTTCACAACTCAGCATTTCCCATGAGGCATTGTTGCTGACTCCCAGGAACCCCAAGAGCAATATATTTTTATGCTTAGATTTGCCTTCATGCTAGCTACTAGGAAGATACCTTGCAGCTAACCATAGTTACATTATATTAGAATGAAAATGTATGAAGACATAAGGTCCTCCTATGCAGTCCAATTTAGAATCTATTTCACAAAGTCTGTAGTGCCACACCTAGAAGCTGATATGTTCCAGGAATTGTAAATTTCTGCTATGCTGAAATTTGGTTGTTAATTTTGTAAAGATGATAATTCCTTCTTTATGGACAGATTACTATTATTTTTATTACTGAAACAAAACGTAATTTGTTTTCCATCCTAGATTTATAGGCTTTAGTTTTTATTCAAATCCCAAACTCATTAATATCTACTAGTTTCTTGATAATTTACTTGACAAAAGAAACACTTGTAACTTAAAATTACTGGCACTGAAATGAAACAGGACTGAGGGAGTATCTGATTCCCTATGGCTTGTGCTATTGTAAAAATAAGATGTTATGTGAAGCTTGAATTTAATGTTATAGATTAAGCTACTGAACCAACAGTCCACAAGCTAAATACTTTTAAAAGTGTTCATGGATATTGAATAACTTTCCTGACTTTAGTGGAAGCAATCACAGTTGCTACCTCTGTCACATTAAGCATACAAAAAGAAACAGATATAGATACGCAAAGATATGTGTGTGTATGTATGTATGTATGTATGTATGTATGTATGTATGTATGTATATAAAATGGCTTGGTTGCAATTAAAGTTTCCCAAAAGTTGGTAGTCATCTTGGAACAGGGGCACTGGTGAGAGCAGCCTGCTCATGATGAACAGGGCACATTTAGTTACAGTGAAGTAAGTCACTGGAAGCAGAGAGATGCAAGCTCCACAGCAGCCCCTTCATCCCCTGACTATTAATTAATCCTTCTTTGCTTTCAAGAAGCACAATCGAGGGAGTTGCTGCCCAAAGAAAGAGACATCCAAGTGACTACTACCTATGTTAAAAACGATTTAAGATTTACTACCTGAAAATACCTCGCAGGGATTTTATTCTGAAAGAAATGAATCAAAGGAAAGAGAAAGAAACACTTAAAAATGCACAGCAAAAAACAAACCGAACAAAAAACCCATAAAATTACAAAGGTGAGTACAATAGGAGAAGTAAGCCTGAGACCTGGGATTTAAACTGTCTGCAATGTTCCACTTTATTCAATCATCAAATATGTTTTACAAATTAAATTTTTCTTTCATATTTGTTGTTTTATGTTTAACCAGATTTGAAAGTTTGTAATGCTGAAATAACCCCTAAACTATAAAAGAATGTGGCTTGCTACCATACCATCTCATCAAAATCATTAAAAGGTTAGTTTAAGGCCTATAAAAGAGGGAAATGTTGATCTAAAATCAGAAAATTCATTTTCCTTTCCATCTAGCATGCTGCCTTGTGGATAATAACTAACCAGACTGAAGAATCAGTAACTGCCAAGCCTTTCTACATATAGCGACCACTTCCCTGTGTATTGCAGGAAAACATTTCCACCTAGAGTCCTTTCCCAGAATATCTGGAGACCAAATGAAATCAACCATAATGATTACCAGAGCCAGATAATAATCAGTTTTTAATTGAAGCATCAAGCCAATTAATTTGTGACAAATTCCTATCAGTTCTGATTCTGCACACGAAGTTTCATAGGACCCAGGCCATTTTCAGCTCCACAGCATCCCTTCCTTCTGAGCATCCCTGCAAGAATTCAGCATTTTGTCCTTTCTAAAATTGCCTTTACTAGAGAGAAAATATTTTAGAGGTGGTGCCTCAAAACTTAATTCGAGATTGCAAAACAGTGTCACTTGTTTTATTCAATAAAATTTTATGAAACACGGGACATTTTAAGCCTCAAACGCAGCTTTTAATTTAAAAAATCCTTTGCTCTTAAATGTGTTTCACATAGGCAAATGAACCCTAAAATTCACTTTATTTTGGGTAATCCTACAAATACATGCTGTGTGTCTGTATGTACACATAACCATGTAGACTGGTAACAATCATTTTCTATGTCATAAAATTTCTAAGGACAATATATGTTAAGAATTAACTATTTTTTCTGGGACCCTGGTATTTATTCTTGCCTCCCCTGAAAAATTATATAAATGTTCTCCACATGATGGTTTGTACTATTCTGTAATAAAAAGCATCAATACACTTTCTACCTTCCACTGACATTAAAATACAACTCTTCTATAAAAGTTAACTTCCATAATAGATTATTCAATAGGTAAATAGTGGATGACTTCCACATGAATGATAAGCAAACCACTCTCTCATCAACAGTCAGTTGCTCTATCTACTTGATAACTTTAAGGTGAACATACCTGGCACTATCCCAACACGTACACTGGCTATCACAGCAAGGACTTCCGTTTTGTCTGACTCACACTTCAGTATTGAAAGTAATATACACTGGTAAAGACGGTGAGAGCACCCTTAGAAAGATCTCCTGTTTTTAATCACTAACTATTGCTTCTCAGTTCTGAAAATCAATTGTTCCCTCACTTTCATCTTGTGACCCCAGTATATCGTAAATGCTAGATCCTGACATTCATGTATTCATTATTCCTAGAACATACAATGACCCATGTCTTTTTTTCCTTCCTTGAGAAATATTCCATTAGAGGATTAGTATCTCAAAAGGTGGAACAACCGCTCTTCATGCACTTTAAAATTATGTTAGAGTAGAAAATGACCACATGTAATAGGCACAAACTCTACACAGCACACTGGAAAACGCATTTCCAGCACTCTGACAGACATATGGTAATCTCACCAAGTATGCACAATATCTCAAATATTCATTTACTTTTTGGTGGCTTATACACAACAAACATATCCAATCACTACAATGGCCAAGTCAGTGCTTAACAGAGATATTTGTAAGTGCATTGAATGTACTGAAAAATGTCAAAGGCACTGTGAAATCTGAAGATTCTTACTTCATCAAATAATCTGAACTCAAAGTCATCTCCCAACAACACCCCTCCATCTCCCCACCCCCTGGAGCCTTAAAGCCTTAACTTCCCCCTCTTTCCTCCCCATGACATTTCGCCATGACTTCCTATTCATTTTTTCTTCCCCTCTCCAAGTCATTCAGCATCTTTGCTCTGTTCTCAGAGTCAGTCCCTTGGGCAAGGAGCTCAGTAAAATGCTGAATGGGGCGACTTCACTAGCAGGTGAAGAGGAAGGGGGAGGAAAAGCAGAGGGTGTGGTGCTCTCTTTTTTCACCACACCCCATCCCCCTGAGTCTTGCACTGGGGTCCACTGCAGCTCAGAGGGGACCTAGCAGATAGCCTTGCTGAGCTCATATCAGTTAGTGACAGACACACTCTGCCAACAAAATAGTATTCAGAAGAAAAAATATTATTAAAAAATAAAACAAAAACAAAACTTGCCCTAAAAGGAAGCAAATGTCCAGAGTAGGAGGAGATTAATTCGAATGAACAGTCTCCAGAATGCCAAAGAGAAGGAAAGGCAACCAAGACAGGGAGCTCACAGATTGCCCCCATCCTTCCCTGGATGCCATCTGAGTATGAGCCTGAGAATTTCCCAAGGCCAGGGGTTGGGTTGGAAGTAGAGAGAGGATTTACCTCCTGGGGCTGCCCTCAGGGCGCTGACTATGGTTGCCTCCCCGAAGTGGCTCTGGCTCCCGGCACAGCTTTCCAGAGCACAGCCTGGATTCGGACTAGGGTCCCAGCGACCAGGCGCCCAGCTAGGAGGAGCACGGGGACTCGGGCTCAGGTCCCCTGCCCCGCCCAAGTTGGAGTCCCGCTGCAGCGCCGCCTTGGCCACCCGGCGGGCACGCTCTCTTCTCTAGCTGCCCCTCGGCCACCCGGCGCCCCCACACCCACCCTCTCCACCGCGCCCGCTGGGAGCCTCTAGCGGAGACCGAGCGAAAAGCAGTGAACCAGCTGCGTCCGGGCTCTGAAGCCGGCAGCAGGGAGCGGACCCGGTGGCGGTGTGGACTTCCAGATACCCGCATCCCGCCGGCCTCTTCCAGCCTCATCTGACATCCAATTTACTTACTAGACCAGGGCCTACAGCTCCCTATCGCAAATAGGGAAGGAGTGTGCGGGGGGAGCGGGGGGTGTAAAGAAAATCCTCTCCAGAATAAAAAAATAATAAAAATAAAACAAACAAAAAAAAAAAAAAAGAGAAGAGAGAGAGAGAGCCAAGCCCAGATATAAATCATCCTGGACTGAGGACCCAGCCTCAGTTGCAATTCCCAATATATATCCAGAAGTGTGAGGATAGGACACTCCCTTTGGCCGCCTGGATCTCAACCATCTGCACCGGCTGGTCCTCCTCTTGCCTGCCCTGAGCCATTCGCGCGGGTTGTGCAGCTGCGTGGCAACAGCCAGGGGGTTCCGCGTAACTTGCCTTAACCCCACCACATCCCCAGTATCTATTTTAAGTTATTCTCTCTGGAGATTCAAGCAGCGGGTTTGCAGTTCCTTACCTTGAGATGCTGTCCATGCCCCTTCGTGTCCTTAAAATCCAAAGCCAAGGAGGATGAAGCGCACGAGAGTCCGGGGTCTTCTTCCAGGCGTACCCCTGTCTCAGCTCTGTCGGTTTTTCCTTTCAGAGGGACCAGGAGGGAATGTCGGTTCTAAAGCCCTGGCAGACAAGGCATCTCTAAACCTTCACGCCTGTGGCTACTGAGACAGGGACAACCTTGGCAGCAGTGGAAGCTTCCCCTGTCCCTGCTCAGGCAACTTGGCTGCGGATCCAGTTTTCTTCTGTGACCCCACAAATGCGTTGGGCAGCCAAGCTGTGTATGCTGTCAGGAGCCTGGGCTTTCCTCTTTCTCTTGCCACAGCACCCCTCCCCCTGCTCCCGCCAAGTGGGAAACCTGTGCTCGGGCGGGTTCGGTGCGGAGCAGGTGCTGGCAGCAGACACGCTGAGGATCGCCCTCCACCGCGGCTTTTTGGCTCCAGCCGCTGCGCCCAGGCGTCTCTGCCAAGGAAACTTTGAGTGGAGGCCACAGCCGGAGAGCTGCGGGTGATAGGAAGCCGGGTGAGGAGGCTGAGGAGCGAGGAAGAAGGGACACCGGGCGAGCAGCGGGCTGCTGGGTCCCGGCGGCCACACTCAGCGCGCGGACTGCGCGCACACACGCCCGGCTCACACGCACCGCTTACACGCACACCCCCGCGCGCGCGCACCAACACGCACACCCAGTCTCACGATCGCGGCCCCAGGCCACAGGCGAAAACTAGAGGTGAACCCTCACCAGGGCTTCCCAGAATTGGAAGGATGGTAACATCAAACCTCCTCTCCAGTTAACTGAGTCCTCAAGTCTGTTTTGCCTTCTCTCTCTCTCCCCTCCATGTCTCACATCTCCACTCAGTGGTCAGTTCTTTCCCAGGAACCCTGAACTCGGAGATAGCAGGACTTCAAACCCTCTTCCCAACCCCATCCTTCAGGGTGACCAGCGCCCCTTCTTCAATGGAGAACTGTAGTGCCTGCAGCACCTCACCAAGGAGCAAGGGCTCCCTGACATCTTTTGAAAGGAGGAATCTTGACACCATTTCCTGGACAGAATCTCCTTGCCACATTCTATCATGCCTATTCTGTAACTTTGTCTCAGAGAGCTCCCGAAGTTCACTTAGGTGGTTTTGCAAAGAATTGACCAGGGACTTCTGTTGGCCAGTTTTTGAATCAGGACTAATTTCAGGTTCTATGCTTTTATTTAAAACTGGATGGTAGCGAGCGCGAGCGAAAGACTCAGCTGGAGAAAGAGGAGGGACTAGCAGCCTGGAGATCCAGCCCATTTCATTTTCCTTTCCAGTATTTTGGCAGAAGTAATGGTGTAGGTCTTCTGGTAGCTCCTGTGGCAACTGACTCTACCCTGAAGGTAGGAATCCCCAAGTTCCGCACAGCTGGGATCGCTGCACCAGATCATCTTTACTCTGAAGCAGGCAGAGATCCTCAGCAAGTCCCTGCTAGGAATCTATCCTCTGGAAGTTTCTCTTGCTTGGACCGGAAAGCAGAAATTCATTGCTAAAGGCAAAATGGAAAGAAAACTTTTGTCGCGATGATTTCTTTGATTGCTTTATTTTGTTCTCTTATTTTAACCCAGATTCTCCTTTGTGCTCCGCGCTCAGGTTCGACAAAGCTTTACTGCTATCATTCTGCTTCTCGATTACTGGGAAAGGCTGGATCGCGGCGAGTTTCTCCTCCAGGCTCTTCAGGAAATCTCTGTGGATTAAGACAGAAAAGGAAAAGTGATGCCATGGCATAGAGATGGCGCTAGGACCCTTTGCAGGAGGGACGTGCGCCACTACCCAGCTGTCTCTGCATGAGCTTCTTCTCTCAAGATCCAGGGTATTTTGAGTGGCCCTCTTCCAGTTGAGTTGGAAGCTGCCTGACTGAAGATGAGAAAATGCAGTTATTTGAGCGCTTGAAGGGGGAACTGTAGGTTGCTAAAGTAGAAGGGAAGAGGATTTTGAGCAAAGAAGAACTTATGTTGGTAGGAGCTGCAGCGTCGCTATTCATTGCCTGAGTAGCAAAGCATGGCCAGGTAAGATTGCAGCAGCACCAAGTGCCTCCAGTGCCATTATGAAACAGGGTTGCAGTGTGAGTTTCTTGAGTGAGTCAGCTATAGACCCTGTGTGAGAGAACCAGGCATAATCTTGTTGAGTTTGGGAATAATGGATCCATGGAAACTGCCCCTTGGAGTGAGGGAACCACAAGCCATTTGCTTTGTTGCTCAAGTAACAGCACCCAGATTCTGCATGTCTGAGTTCAAAGCTAATGCTGATTTTCCTTCTGGTTCAGCAAAGGCAAGAGGAAGAAGCTATCCCTGGGAGCCTAGGTGAAGGAAAAGTGGATTCGGGAGAAATGCTAATCAGTTGAAAATAAGAATGCATTTTATTTAGTTTTGATGTTTAAGATGTGTTTTGGACACTGATCTTTTTGCAGCGTTTTGAGTGGGGGATGTTAAGTTGATTTTGAACTTGGTGCTATCTATGCATTGTCTCCTGGTCATGAGATTTGGTACTTTTGGAGTTGTAATATTTTCCATCTTTAATAAGTGACTGATGTGGATACTGAAGTTAAACTAAGAATTATAATAAACAATTTCCAACAAAAGGCAACCCTTATGTTATGGTTTCATTGTGTAGCCCTATCAATTAATGATGTTGGATATGGATTGCAAAGATCAGATGATTCTCCTGATGACAGAAAATTCCTGATTGTTGAGTAAACTCCTTTCCAGAAAGGTCCTGGACTGGGGTGATATTCCTGGCTGCTGTTGACATGCAAACTGCTACTAAGCCTCTTTTAAAAAATAAAGTAGGTCATTTACATACACACTAAGTCCATTGTTCCAAGGGTGCCACACAGTGCCTGGGACTCTAAGCAGAGGCTTCTTTTTCATCCTCCTTGAATCTGGGGTTACAGGATGTGTGAGGAGCAGTGATAATCAAGACCACGTATTCATGACAAAATTTAAGCATCTACTGTAACTTGAAAACCCTACAACTTTAATGCCTGCCTCCAATATTCATTCACTCTCCCCTCCTGTGAAAATACAATTTCCCCCATATGCTGGATTGCTGAAAATTTAAACACACTTGCTTTTCTTTATGCAAAAAAACAAGAAAATAAAAGTCACAACTATTCTCCCCATTGATTCTTCACATTTCACTTTGATGACAAAAAGATCAAGAAAAGCCAGCCTCTGCCTTGGAGGACATAAACCACCCCTTTTATAACATACCAAACATCTTCCTATTTCTCTATCTACAAAACTGAGACAAAAGATTGAAACTCAAAAGAACTGTCAGATCCAGCATACATGAACTGCAGATTATAACTACTGCATACCTCGAGTGTGTGTGTTTTTCTTCACATGCTTTCAGAAACTAAGTGGCCTTCAGTATACATGGAATCTCTTTCAATGGAGCCTGACTTGTCCTCTGTATTCTTCAAGGTTATTGCAATTTCATAATTGTATTTACTCCCCAGAAGCAAAGTGTTTATCTTACTAATATACAGCTTTGTTATAGATTGAAATGATTCCTTGATTAATAATATACCTTTCCTACACCATGATGCACAAGGAAAGCAAGGATGGCCAATTGTGTGTTAGTATAACTTGGCTCCTAGTGAAGGTTCCCAGACAGAATAAACCAGAGGTGTTGGATAATAGTATAGTGACAAGTAACTGCTCTGCCATATAAGTACATTAACTCAGTGATCCTCTGTGTTCTCAGATGACAGTGAAATTAATGCTTATGCTAATTTGCCAAGGGTAACACAGATATTTTGCCATAGATAAGTAGGCATGAAACCCACATTTTCCTTATTATGAAACCTGCAATCTTAACTTACTTTGCTCAGTTCAGTCATTCAAGAACAAACATTTCTAGTTAACCAGGGCTAAAGGGAATTTACATAATTTAGTGCACAATAAAGTAATATGATAATTTATAACAGACTTCATTTTAGGCAATCTGGTTGGTATCTGTTTGTGTATAGGAATATTGAAACAGTTAACTTTTTTCCTACTTTCATACAAAAATAGATTTTTTTCATACAATGTATTCTGATTATGTTTTCTCTTTCCCCAGCTCCCTACCCTTGCCCCCACCCAAATCCACATCTTCTCTTTCTCTCTCTCATTATAAAACAAACAGGTCTCTACAAATAATAGTAAAATCAATCTGGACTAACACAGAAGAAACAAGCACTTTAATGTTAAAACATGATTATACTTTCTTGGTATTGTTCCCTTCAGAAAAAGAAATGCTGGATTTCGAATTGAAGTAATTGGGCCTCGGGACACAATGGATATACAGCTATAAGTAACTTTTCATTGTTTGTTTTCATATTACTATCCACATGTTAAAATTTAAAACAATAATTCTACTATAAATTTTCAGTAATGTCAATACATTATAAAAATGTGACTGGAAAGATGGTTCACTGGTTAGTCCCTGCCCCAGGTATTTTGACACCCTCTTCTGAAACCATGGGTACAGACATTCACATGTCCATAGTCATACATATACACACATAATTAACATAAACAAAAAATAATAAATTTTGTATAGAGAAAATTCTAGAAATGTATCATTTTGTACTTATACATGAAAGCATTGTATTGTGTCCTGTAATTTTTTGTTGAAAATCAATTTAATGTAAAGTATTATTACCACAAGTTTTAAAGCGATAAAATGAAAAAAGATTTAGAACATGTGTGGTATTGAATTCGAAGTGACATGTGAACATGTCACAATAAATGTAGCTGTCATTTCTAGTGTCCCATATTGTAAAATATTCTTCAAATAAGTATTAGTGTAGTAGCATTACATTATATTTAGGCTACGTTGCTACAGGCAGAAAGATGAAAAAGCTGTCATATTTATTAAGGTCACCATGGAATTTTTAGGTGAAAACAGACAGATGAAACAAGGTGTTTTTTTGAATCTTAATAAAACATACTGGGGCTGTGGAATAAGAAGAAAAAAATGTTGAGGCAGAAGTAGGACATTTTCTTAATTCAGGAATATGTGGAAGTATTACCTTAAAAATATCTTTAAAATAATGGATGGAAGTTTTTTTCTTTGTGGCTTGTAATACGTTTTCTCATACCCCTTTACCAGAGCACAACTGGGAAAAGGGAGGAAGTGCTAGGGCTTAGGCTACTGTAACAAAATACTAGACCCCCAGTGACTTAGACATTGGAAACTATGTTCCACATAATTCTCACAATTCTAAAAGCCAGAAATCTAAGATCAGTTTTCTAGTTTCATTACACGTGACAGCTGTCTTTTTGGCTTAATAGCTGCTTTTCCGAAAATGTCCATGAATCCACTTCCTTCAGTGTGTTCATAGATAGTACTTTGGCATAAGGGATCTAACCCTTTGAACTTCCCAAAGGTTTCGTCTGCAAACACCATTATATTCTATGATAAATTTTCACTTCACTAGTTTATGGAAGGCACACCTTCTTAGCAAATGGTAAGCCTAACCCCTGTTAGTTGGTTCTTCTCTCAGTAAAGAGACTGATAATCTTCTCCGAGAGTATGAGTCCTGCCATGGCAGCATCTTTATCAGGATGTTTTTGTCTTAGAAGTATCTAATAATGTGTGCATCCCTGGAGAATAGCATAATGTGGCTCTCTACCTCTGGGTTATCAAATGAAGATGTGCTCAGTCTGTGAGGAGTATTCATACCTTAGTTGGAGACATATTGGTAGGAGAGCAAAACAAACAAACAGCGACAACAACAAACATGTCTATTCTTAGCTTCTTGTTTATATCCTTGAAGTTATTCAGTTTACATTGATGCTCCTTATGCTGTCCAATTCATGGAAGCCTCATTTGAATATTTTAGTCTTGCAAAACAGCTCAGAATTTGTAGTTGATGTTCAAATAATAGCCACCCTTTACTCAGCACCTTTTGTGTTCCAAAATTTTAAGAAAACTTAGTTTGATTGTTTTTATGTTTACCCCAAACTTACTACTATCATATAATAAAGTGAGAAACAGTTACAGAAACATTAAGTAATCTTGTCAAGGAAATAAAGCTGCCTAAATACAGAGAGTTTGGACCTTCACTGTTTCAATTCAGAGCCCAGAATTAACGACAGAAGGATTTATATTAGCTGGAATACTGTGAGAACACAAATTTTGTTTCGCTGTTAATGGCAGGGTCCTCAAATAAACAAATAGCACATGACTCCTGATTGAAGAAAACCATGTGATAAGAGAAGTAGATAGAAATGTCAGTAATAACAACAGTCTCCCCTTCAAGCCTTTCAGTGTGTTAATTGCAAGATACACATCATTTTATTAGATTTCACAAAGCATCCTAAATTAGTATTTCTATCTTTCCAGTTATCAAGACTGATAGAATAAGGTCCTACAAATCCCATTGTTTTTCAATACAGAAACAATTTGAACACAATACTTATTGTTTTTATTCATATAGCTAAACTGACTTAAACTATTTCCTTAAGCCACAATGTTGTGTTTATAACTGAGTCACTTGATTAATATTCTGTCTCCATTCTACTGCTTCAATTCAGAGAGCATGTAAATGTAAAGAGATCAGAAAGTCTGAATGAATGCCTTCCTGTACAGTTACAGGATTTGCTGAAGAAAATCAGTGATTTTTCTGCTTGCTATCCTCCTAAGGTGCCCTGGTGACGGTTTTGACATTTTTTGACAAGAAAGGAAATCAGCCAAGGTAATATGGTCACAAAAGAAAAATGTTCCTATCATTTTATGATGATCTCAGCATGCTTGATTTCTTGCTCCAAAGTATGTTTATTGTCTCCAACAGTCAGTCTGTTAGTAAGTGGATTCTTAAGTCCTCCCATAAAATTTCCAAATGCTGTTCTCTATCACATATTAGTGGAATGGAAAAACCAATAGAGGGCTTTTACTAACATAGGTTTGAAAGGGATTATGAGGATACACTTAGGTGAAGCTGGGGGTGAAGGACATAGAAGGAGATGATTGGAGGAAAGGGGGCAAATGTTGGATTTTAACTTAAATATAAAGCTGAAATGCAAGCACTATTTTTATTGATTTTGTTTTCGGGGACCTTTTTGAGACAGGGTTTCTCTGTGTAGTATTGGCTGTCTTTGAACTCACACTGTACAACAGGGTGGCCTCAAACTCAATGAGATTCTCCTGCCTCCAAGTGTTGGAATTCAAAATGTGCTCCACTACTTCCCTCCACTACTACATGACGAAAGCACTGTGTATTAACTCTTACTCAGTATTTATTATACTGGAATTTTCATGTGGGACCCATTATTGACATACCAAGCTAGGAATTTTTAATTCATTCTAAGTGTATCCCTCTGTAATGGTTAACCTATAGAATATAGAAATAAGTATATTTGATTTGAATTCTGGCCCCAAATCTTTCAGATTTTTGAACTCCAAAAATAACGATCAAGAATAACATAGAAATAAATATAAGACCCCTTATTAGGTATTTAGTGTGTCTTCTAAAGGCCCAATTGTGGAAGTCTGGGGCACCAGCCTGTGCTTCTATTGTGAAGTGGTAACTTTTAGATGTGGTACTTACCTAGTAGAGCAAGTTAAATACTTGGGGACCTATCTTTAATGGAAAA